GGTCGACCGCGGTGAAAGCTGACCTTTCTGCCTCACTTCAGTAACCTGCCGCGGTTCACCGCGGTCGCGATGGCCTTCTTGCCCAGGCCATTTATGCTTCTTTGTGTTCGGGTACTTCTCGAGTGGGTGTTTTTCTTCACATTATCGCCTCCAAAACTCTCCATGTTGCTTCCTCTCATATAATATTCCCTGCTAAACAAAAGAATACTATTTAGAGCATTTTGTTGGAAATTTATTTATAAAACAACAACAAAGTATGGTCATATTAAGGTGTAAATATCAACTATATCGCCTACTATCACTAACATATTTGGTATATGGAGGCTACACTTGTTGTTCTCTTCATGCTCTTCACTACTTAACCTTATTTTTGTTTAGAATTCCTAATTATGATGTCTTTGACCTATTTTTTTAACTGGAAAACCTGTGAAGTAAGTGACGGAGTGAAACATTCGCTCCATTTGTCTTGAGTTAAAAGTTTGTTGATCTAGAGAAAATGGACATTGGGCCTAATTGAACCCCAAAAGTTAGCTCATGATGTGAAGATTATCCAAAAAAATATAAGGAGATAATAGCCTATTCTCTCAGCCAATGTGGGACAATCTAACATTCCAACCGCACGCCTATGTCTAGACTTTTGGAGCGTGGACAGTATAATATGGGGCCCTAACATTGGGTGAACTAAGAATAGAGATGAGTCTAACTCTGATACCATGTAAAAGAAGATGAATCTAGAGTCTAACTCAACTCTAAAAGCTAGCTCATAAATTGAGAAACTACGCAAAATTGTATAAGGCGACAATAATCCATTCGCTTAACCATATGGGACATTCTAAGAATTGACATGAGTGGAAATGTAAGCTTTCAAAAATGTGGATTGATTTAAAGCCATCTCTTTGTCACTTAAAGCGATAAATCAACATGAAGCAAGGGGTTATTACTTCAGAGAAGTGTGCACTTCAAATAATGACGCACAAAGCAATCGGTACTTTGAATCTCAACAGTGAAGAGTTGTACCAATATCGGTAGTATTATTACTTTGATAAGGAATACTGTTATTATATATTTAATGCTGAATTAGTGACTTTAATTACAATTTGAATATTATAGTGGTAAACTTTATGTTGGGTATTTCCAATTTTTCGTATTATGTGCCTCACATTTTGTTTCAAGCCCTATGGTTTTTGCGCTTTTTGCTTTAAGAAACACTTGTCTTGAGCAATCCTTATTGCATGAGCTTGTTTTGGAGGTTGAGTTCAAGATCTATTTTCTTAACCAAAGCTGTTAGATAGTTATGTGTAAATAGTCCTAGTCTCATATGTAGTAGGAGTAGAATATGTCCTAGTCCCATATATAGTAGGAGTAGAATATGTATTATATATAGGGCTCATTCTATTATTGTTAATAAATAGATTTTTCTCTCGTGCATTCTCACAAGGTATCAGAGCTTCAGTGAGAAAATTATCATTGTGCGTCATTCTAGCGACATCCGGAAAGAAAGATCTCATCGCCGTGCAATTTTTTAGCAATTTCGTCTTGTTCAAAGGGTTCATCACTGCTAAGTGGTACTGTGCATATACCAGTACCACCATCAGATCTGAAACCCTTGTGCGACCAAATCCCAAAAATTTTAGTCCCATCGGAACAAAAAAGTCAGTCATCGTGCGTCTTTCGTCAACTCAAGATTGATTTGCGTTATCTCTTCATCGGTAATTGTTGTGCGAAAACCAACACTACCATCTTGTTCAGAAAAGTCGGGCAACAAAACCCTAGTCAATCACTCCGGCAAAAAGTTCCTCACGCGCCGCCAGAACTAGGGTCCCAGCGAGCTACAATAACTTTTTCGGTGCGTGTGAGCCATTTCATCCACTTTTTGACAAAACTTCTTTAGGACAACTAGTTGTCCAGTGATTTCGATCCTACCCATATAAATTACATCAAATTTTGACAACTTTTATTTTTTACGACGTGAACAGTAATTTCCAGAAAAAGTTTTTGTTTTGTGGTGGTGTTTTAAAACCTATTTTGTAGTTTGGAATTCGGCTTTCTCACTATTTTAAGATTTTTCCGGCGCCAACTCTTGTTTATCAGCAACCACCTGGTTTTGTTGCTCATAGGGAGTCTAGTGGTCTTGTATGTCGAATGATCAGCTTGCAAATATTTTTACCAAGTTCCTCACTGGTCCTTGTATTAGTTACATATGTAATAAGCTCGGTACATATGATTTGTATGCACTAGCTTGAGGGGGAGTGTTAGATAGTTATGTGTAAATAGTCCTAGTCCTATGAGTAGTAGGAGTAGAGTATGTCCTAGTCCCATATGTAGTAGGAGTAAAATATGTCCTAGTCCTATATGTAGTAGG